GTCATTAAAAATTGTATGTGCTCAGTTACCTCATCCCTAAAAGCCTCCTTTCGACAAATATTTTAAAATTACATTAGGGAAATGCAATTTGTTGTGCCAAGTACTCTGAGCATTACTAAAAGTGAGAAGAGGAAAGCCTAGTCCCTAAGGAGCTAACAAGTCAGAGGACTGGGCCGGAAATGTCTGGGAAGCCAGGCAGAGGGGTGCAGACTGGCATTAAAGAAGCTCACAATGGTGGCTCTGCCACCAGCCTCACAAGCACAAGGACCCGGGTTCAATCCCCAGTACCCCCAAGAAAAGGAGCACGCAAAGGGCCCACTGGTGTTAGAGGCAGGGTAGGATTTGCACAGGAGGAAGACAGGAGGGAATCGTGTTATAGCTGACATCTGAAATCAGCCTGGTGGGCTGCATTTCAGTAGCCATTTGGTGTTTCACCTGGGAGCAGCAACAGGGAAAGCGCGCAACATGCTCATCCTGCGGACACAGGGCATCAGACCTAGTTATGGTATCATGGACAAGTAAGGGAACCGATAAGAGCAGACTGGGGTGACACTGCTGGGGCCATGAGCCCCAGGGAAAGGATTGAATTCAGCAGGAAACAAGAACCCTCAGAGAAATGGACTTGTTCTCTGCTGATGTTTTCAACATTTACTAAAGACACAATAAGCCGTTAACTTCACAAATAATTAAATACAATGCCCCTCTTTCCCAGGACAAAGGTTCAACAATGATTTGTAAATATTCTTACTTAAATTGACAAAAAATAGACATGCTTTGCCTACTGAAATATTTGCCCCTGTTTTTTCCCATATGAACACAACCTTGTCCTTTGATCTCTCTTCGTACTTATGTTGCTTTATTTGTGGTGCTTTATACTTTCATCTCTTTTAACATTACCCACGCTTTCTTTTTCTTAGCAAATGTTAGCCTGCAAGAGGTGGGGCCCACTTGCTTTTACCCTGTCTCTGCATACTGCTCAGTGCTTAGCTTAACAAGTATTAAAAGCAATGTCTTGAGTGGATAGTTTAATATCTGCATTTTAGCAAAATCACTAGACTCAGTTTAACTGTCCAGGTGATGAATTAAGTTTTTACCTGGGATGTTCTTGTTGGAAATGACGAACTCAGGGCATGAAAGACCGATTTCTTGGCTTTACTGGGACGACTAACTGCTTCCTTAATATGCTCTAGATAAAACACCACTCTTTTTCATGGTTGTTACATTTTTATTACAACAGCAATACATGTTCAGTGTATGATTGATAAGCCAAACAAGGAAATAAAACCCTCATAATCTTAACACAGACATAATCACAGTAACGGTTTAGAGGAATTCATGATGCAGTTTCACATGCGTTTTTTTCAGCTCTTAATGCACACAAACTAATTTACTCTTCGGAAAGACTGAACTGTTTTACATTCCTTCTGGAGGTGTGGAGAATGATCTTCACTTGGGTCAACACCGTGTATAATCACTAATATTAAACCCGGCAGCATGGTGGGGTAAAAATAGGTAAATGTGAGGTTTTTTGTATGCTAATGAAATCAAATATTTTCCATGAGTTTATTGAACTTTTGCACTTCTTTCATGGGCTCTTTCTCTTTTTTGGCCTATTTTTCTAGTAGGGTATTTCTCCCTCTCTTATTTTTGAGAACTGGATGTATACTGACCATTTCCCCTGTCGCTATTTTTATCATATTTCCTTTCCATGTCACTGACCCCTAGGAAGAGGGTCTAATAAACTAAGTGAAAGTCACATCTGTGGTCCCCCCCTCCTCTTATTTCTAAACTGAGTGAATGTCGTGAGCTAGATTATCTTCCAGGAAGGGAAGAAAACATGAAAGCAACCAGGGGAATATGAGTCTCATTGGAAACAATTTTCAGAAACAACGATAAAATCAGAACATGAAGTCAAAAGATTCCCTAACCTGCTTTTCAGAATTAAGAATTTAGAAATAATATGAACTCTTTCCTTTATTTTTAAGAATAGCATTCTAGCACTGGCCTATCAAAGAACACAATACAAAGTGCATGCTAGCAGTGGCAAGTCAGACTCGATAATTACAGTGAACAGTAACGTCTGTTCCAAACCACTGCTGCCTTGAAGTATTTATGGGACATGTATGGAACCCTTAAATTCAATAAAGAATGAGCACTTTTATGGTTTGGTATCTAAGATGTTAGCTGGGGGCAATGCTGAAATTCTTTCTTCTTGGAAATGCAAACTATGAAGGGGAGGAAAGTGAAACAAATTGCAAAAGGGAAAAAAAGCAACATAGTTGGGGGCATAGGAGAAGAAGAAAAGGAAAAAAGAAAGAGATATAAAATAGAAGAGATTGAGAAGTGAGGCTGAGAAGTAACACATTCTTCACAATTACTATACCAAAGTTATTAAAATATAACACAATGTTTCCTTTTCTTTTTCAACTTATATAAGTAGGGCATTACAAATAAGGAACCCTTTTAAAAAATGTTTTACATGGAATTTATCCCTGATAGGATAAAAAAAATAGTTAACTTTGTCTTCTGTGGAGCATAAACATTGAAAGTAGTTTGTGTTTTTACACTTCTAAAGTTGTTCAAGTATACACACAACACACACACAAGAATACCAACAACACAGAGATAAATAGCATGTTAGAATCTCTGCAAGTTGTTGGTCAGAATTTAGAGTCCTGTCAGGTTACCCTATTTTCAGATATTTGTTCACCAGTGGTAGTTTCAGAAACAAAGAAAAAGGCCAGTCATTTATAATTAATTGTATTTGGCTCAGATAAATAACAGTGTTTGATTAATGGCTCTTTCTGCTTGAAATCTCTTTAAAATTCAATAAAAAGTATTGGGTAAGAGACCTAAACCTAAGGATAAAAGTTTGTTACCATGAAACCAGCTTAGATTCAGACTTTTTCCTGAAAGAAAAAGAGAAATCATTATTAATCTGGAAACACTGCTATATCTAGGAACTGGATAAGCAACAAATAATAATAATTTTATATTTTATTTATTCATTTGTCATGGTTTTCCAAAATTTTGTTTGATTCAATGTTATGAATAGGAAAAGGAACATTTTGAGACAGAAACAGAGTATGTTGAGCCCTTTCATAAGTATGTAAAAGATTATGAAATTATCAAAATGTTTATGAAGATATGCAAAGTGAAGGCGATTTACTTGTGTAAAAGACAAACTACAGGTAAAACCGTGGGCTTCCTGTAAGGCAGTTTTAAGTATTGTTTTAATTGGTCAATCAAATAAATTTCAGTGGGTGAATTTAAGTCTATCAGAAAAATAAAGCCTAAAATCTTGATGCTCTTAGTTCAAAGTCACTAGCAGTTAAAAGGTATAAGGAGCACAGTTGCTTGGCGAGAAAAAAAATGGAATAGGGGTAGTACTTTTAAAAAGTCACCAAAAGTCGAATACAAGTTCATGAATCGTGGTGCTCAAACCGAATTTGAGCTGCAAGGGTCATGTGACTCCCTCCCCGGGCCTCTAGCCACAGTCAACCAAAAATTAGCGATGGAAACCATGGGAGAAAGAAACATCAGCGGTTTTAAGTCCTGACACATAAACATGGTTTGTGTCACTATGGATGCAAACTCCTAGACTACAAGGATTTTAATTAGGTTTCAAACAGTTGAAAACTCACCAGTTGACACTTTTAATAGATTCGCTCCAATGAAGTAAAAAATAAGCTATTTTAAATATTTTTTCATAATACTTTCGTGTTTTGTCAACATGATTTTACTTATCCCCCGATTTCTGAACCTGGTATGTAAAGTTTATTATTCCTGTAGTTATAAGGCACCTTTTAAATTCTAAAGTTTTCACCTCTAAGTTTAAATGATTTTCACCAGTATGGATCAATAACAGTTTATCTTATTTCCCCGACTGTGGCAACACTGTCTTCAAATGCCTGGCTCACTTTTCTGAATTCCAAAATGGCTTTATTTTTCATCACACACACATAGATAAATACATTACTGTGTGTATATTACATACATGTAAATGTATCTATTATGCATGTATATATACCTGCAGATATACATGTGTTACATATGTGCCTGTAGTTACTGTATACATGATATGCTACGAAAGTATATTTATGTCTAGAGATAATTTCTTTATGTTTGTATGCACATACACTCCACCCAGAGACCTGCAGAAAGACATTCTCTTCACATAATTAAAAAGGCCTCAAAGAGTTCAAACATGAAGATGTGTGGTAACCAGCCACGGAAATACGCAAATATTTGAAAACCACAAAATACTTCCCTGGGTTTTGAGGCACCCGGACCTCGGAGCGTCTGGATCAACTTTGCAAAGTGGCATGAAGGGAGCGGGGAAACACCGGCGGTGCCCCCTCCGGCTCCGCGGCCGCCCCGAGCC